CATTTCTCCTGGTTCTTACCAAGATCACAGTTGATAACAAACATGAAAACGCCATGCAAACTAGAAGACACGTCATTAATGCAAAGATGACTCTTCTGTTGGCCCCTGGCCCAATGCTGCGCTTTGTCATTTCTCCCCAGTTGGCACTAAAAGTCTGAGGGAGGCAGGGGTAGGGTGGGGGAGGAGAATGGCTCTCAGCGAGGTGGTTATGTTCTTTAGGCCCCATCAGCATTGAAGAGCCCTGGAGTGGAAGTCAATGAAACTGAATCCGAGCCCCAGCTTCCTCCATCATTAGGGAAGTGATCTTAGCAAGTCCCTTCTCTGGCTTCTGGAAGGGGGGGAGGGGCGATCAGATGACACTAAGCCCCTTCCTAGCTCCGGTTTTGTGAATTTCATGAACTTCTTCCTTACCCTGTAGTCAGGGTTGTAACCACATCCCCACTGTGGTCTTGACTTTAAAGGGCTTCACTGAGGCGCCCTTGGCAGAGAATAAACTCCCAGCCGACACCTGTGCAGTCTCCCGACCCTCCTCCTGACGAGAGGGAGCTGCACTGCTTTTTTCCCCCTGACTTCCGGGTTCCTGGTACCCCAATGTCATGGTGGGGCTAAGAAGGGACCTCTAGGTCTGCGATGGGGAGAGAAGAAGCGTTGACAGGGCGATCACTTAAAAGTATTGACTCAGCCGAAACCGGTTTGGCTCAGTGGATAGAGCGTCGGCCTGTGGACTGAAGGGTCCTGGGTTCGATTCCGGTCAAGGGCATGTACCTTGGTTGCGGGCACATCCCCAGTAGGGGGTGTGCAAGAGGCAGTTGATCGATGATTCTCTCTCTATCCCTTGTTTCTGACTCTCTATCCCTCTGTCTTCCTCTCTGTAAAAAATCAATAAAATATATATAAAAAAAGTATTGACTCAATCTTTGAACCTGGAGTCTTTCTGCGAAGAAGCAGGTTTTGGCCAAGTCTTCCATGTTCCAACAAGACCGGAGAAGGATGGGATGAGCCATCCCCATCAACACCCCACATCCGGTCTATGAAGGAACCTCCCAGGCGACTAACTATTCTGAAACCCTGGAAAGTGGGGTGAAGCCGATTAATCCTATGATACAGAAATGTGTCTTCCTATATTCTCCATATCATTTTGTGGTCAGCAGCTCTATATCCACTGGAAATAATGCTATATGAGACAAAGACAAGGCAAGGACCCCGGAGTCCAGCTTCTCCTTTCTGCACTATTGACATGTGGGGCCCATCATCTTGGTTGTGGGGCCGTCCTATGTGTAGCAACATCCCGGCCTTTACCCGTTAGGCGTCAGCAGCACCCCACCCCCAGGACTGAAAACCAAAAAACATCTCCCAACAATGCTGAATGTCCCCTGGGGTCAAAATTGTCCCATTTTGGTGTTTTGCCTTGTTTCCAAAGTCCCGTTTTGTTTTTTTGGAAAAGGTAACTAAAGACTATTGTGTTAGGCACTATTGACTGTGTGACTGCTGCACACCAGGCACTGAGTTAAGGGCCTTACAGTCGGCATCTTCTTTACCATGACTTGTGGGTTATCAGGGCCTCTTACTTCTTCTTTTATTATGAGAAACACATAAAACAACAGGCCTTTTAGTCTCTCGGGGGGGATTGCAGGTTTCCCTCTGCCTCTCACCTACCCAGCAAGGCGGAGGGCCAGTGTCGGCAGGGAAAAATCACCAGGGGCCTGGCCCTGTCACTTCTTAGGAATGTGCTTTTAGGATCCTTCTCACCCTTTTGGAGGCTCATGTACACGAAAAGAACGATACCTGCCCTGCAAGGCTGTGAGGCTCAGAAACGAAATTTGTGAGGAGAGGGAACACACCCGTGTTGGCACCACTGCCTCCTCCGTACCTGGCCGCTGGCTCTGAGTAGATGGTCAGTATGTGCCTCTTGGATGAACAGGTTGATGGAGAAAAGGTTGGGCATCTGTCGCAGATGCAGGCACCAATATGTACCCAATAAATGCCAGGCTGACCGTGTCTGTGATGCAGACAGGCCGAGGAAAGAGGCAGCAGCCGGGGTTAGACGAAGAGCAGGCCACACAAGACAGCCACCTCTATCCTTTGGAGTGCATGATCCAGAAAGACATTCACACAATGTCACAGCTCATCAAAGCATTGCCAGCGGAAAACCTCGGCAAAGCCGAGGTGCCACACACTCCCACTTATGCCACCCGGCCACCGGCCACCGAGACCCTCTCTCCCAGGGCCTAGCCTGTGGGACTGTGGTTCGCCGAAGATCTGGGCTCTGGAGGAGTTTGAGAGAGCTTTACGTTGCTTGTTAAGCTTAAAACAATGAACTTTAATAAAAGAAAGCATGTCCATTGGGCTTGTAAATGCTTAATAGGAGTTAAAAGTAATTAGCTAGTCTGTTTGGTTCTAATTCAATAAGTGCTTTCTTTTATTAACTTCATTGTCTGTGAAGATTGGGATTGAGGTTTGTCTGCCTTTGGAAAAGGTCGAGTTTGCCCAACGATGGGTGGGTGACGGACTAAGGCAGCCACTTGCGCTGGCAGTGCCTACAAGAGGCGGGGCTCCGTGAGGCTGTGTGCGAACCCGGGCACATTGCCCCTCTCTACCTGCCGTGCCTTGTTTTCTCCTGAGAAGAGGGATGGCATTGCCATGCAAGGCCGGGTAGGGAAAGCACTGGTGTGCCATGTGGCACAAGAAGGGGTCAGTTCATGATGATCCCCTCTTCCTTCTTCCCTTTCCCCCGGAGCCAGCCCCTCCCAGTCATATCCTCCGTGTCCCCCTGAGCTCAGGTGATAGAGCGGGTGCTGGTGGCATCCTTGCCCGGATCTGAGTCAGACTGGGAGCTCCTGGAGGGCCAGGGCTGGGACCCCTCCCCGGAGTGCCCCTCGGTGCCCTCCCTGTCCTGTTTGCTGGCACTGCCGGGGATGACAGGCTTTGGCGAGAGGCTACCAGTGGGAGCACTGACGGGAGATTGGAAAGCGGAAAGAAAGGGGGAGCCAGGGTGTTCACCTAGCCCTCCCCCTTCTGTGTTGAGGTATCTGTGTTTCCTCTGATCACCATAGTCCAGCCCTGCCTGGCCCAGGCTCTAACCACACCCCTTCCTCCTGCATCCCTCCGTGCCCCGTGGCTGGCCCTGGCTAAGCTCTGAGGGTTTCTCTGGCTCCTGTTAGGCTTCTAAGCTTTTCCATCCATGTGAGCACTTCCCTGCTCTGCATTTCCTCCATGTGGACTGCCTCGCGTGGCTGTTTCCCTGACAGGAGCCAGTGGATGCCTCCGTGTCTCCGGCCTCTGACCACGAAAAGCGCTCACTGCACTTTTATTGGCTGGGTGCGTTTCCTGCTAAAATATTCCAGAAAAGGCTGGGTTCCTGCTCTGCCACAGCAAATGGGCTGCACTTCCTGAGCCCCCCAGCCTCCCCAGAGCCCCAGCCAGGACCTTCCCTGGCTTTCTTGTCCAGGAACATGCGCGGTTGTGGGGGAGCACAGCTCTCCAGGAGGCCCCTGTCATGGCTGTCTGCCCAAGGCTGGCCTGGGCCATACAACCAGGTTGCAGCCTTTCTCTCTGCATCTATTTAACAGCATTTAGGATGCTCAGGATCCATGGGTGATCTGGTCATTCAAATCATACCAGAGTGTGCTAATCCCGTGTGCTAGTCCTGTTGAGATGAACCTACTTCTCCAGGGTAATGTTTGCCTAACGGTGGGATTGCAGGCCCCGCTGTGAGCGATGAAGGCGGTGTCGTTGACCTGCCGTGCCTTCCCGGGACCCCGTGAGGGATCCACCATCCATTGGTCCCTGTTAACTACTCTGCTTTTCCAGGTGTGCCACCGCATTTCTGCATCCGGCAGGAAAAGACAGTGCTTCTCAGAGTTATGAACCTCATGTTCTGGAACCACCATGGGAGGTACTGACCTATCACTCTTAACATCCATTCATCTGGAACCCTGGGACTGTGGGGGAGTAACTCCACATAATGACCAGAGGTCGCAATAGCCAGGCCCCATTTCAAGTCTTTCTTATGCATTAACTTGCTTACGCCTCCTGGTGGGGAGCACAAGAGACTTGGCTGGAAAGTTGTGTAAGGAGGACCTTCTGAGAAAAGGGCAGTGTGTGGAATGCCGACTGCCCTGTTTATTGGAATTCTGACTTAGGGGAGACTTAGGGGAGTGTCGAAGGTGATGCCCCTAATTATTTCCTTGACCTTTCCAAACCAGTCTGTGCATATGCAGACCCCTGGGTGTTTACTGGAATCCTTATGTTTAATCCCTGGATGCCCTTGCCTAGAGGACAATGTAAACGTGTGTCCTCCTAAGAATACTCCCCCTACTGATTGTATCCAAAGATAAAAATTCCAATAAAGACCTCGGACAACAGGAGGGTGGGGACATATGTAGGGAGGGGTTTGGGATGGGAATGGGAGGATAAGGACAATTATGTGAGACCATAATCAATAAAATAAATTTAAAAACACCTGAAAACACAATAAAAAAAAAATTCCAATAAAGGCCTAAGGAGTCAGGCAATAGAGGCTGCTCTGGCTACTAAAGCCAGGGTAATCTGTTCACCCATCATTGAGGGGCCCCCAGAGCTGAAGGGCAGAGGGAAGGCCTGCACCCAGAGCTGGAATTGCAGACTGCAGAGGCCGTTAGAAGTAGCTCTGCCCAGGCTGCTCAGGCAAAGGACAAATGTAGAAGGCACAGGCATCTTAAAACAGAATCTTGGAGAAACGAATGTGCTGTCTAAAGGAATGAAACTCAAATAGGCCACGCTCAAGAATTAGGAGGAGAAACTATGTTGGCCAGAGAACATTTCCAGAAAAAACAACCCCCCACCTCCCCCAAACAAATGAACTGACAGAAAACCAACAAACAGGCTAAACTAAAATATAAACAACAACAAAGCCACACCGAGAATCACAGGCAGGCAGTCACCTCTTCTGCTTGGGGATAGAACTGACAGTTCTACAAACACAGAGAGAGAGAGAGATAAAGGATTTCAAAGTACGGGAGTGACTTTTGTTTTTTCATTTAATGCCAGGTTTCAACGAAGAAAGAGTATGTTTGTCACCGGCACACATTTGTTACGCTTAGAACCCACCCAGATGTCTTCACAGGCTCTGTCGGGAGTGGAGGGGAGGGGTCCCCCACCGCTTCGTAGCAAAGCCGCTTCTGGAACCACCCTTCGCTGGGAGTATGGAGCTGCCCGCTCAGGGCCATCACTTCTTTTTGAACACCTGACGGCACACCTGGTCACAGCACGTCAGCTCCTGCAACATCAGAAAGTGGGTGAGTGACGAGCAAGCTGGGTCTTCCTTCTGCCCTGCTGCTGGCCTTCTTGTCATCTGTGATTTGGGGGCAAAGAGGGGGTGGGCAACTGTAATAAAGAGGACGCTTATTCTGGGCAAAGTGTATCTCATGGATCCAATCAGCTGGCAAGTCCTGATTTGATTTTGACCCTTGAATTGAGCTTGAGCAAGTATAAAAACCAAACATTTGAAGAAATTACCCTCTTGGGCGGGATCTCTCCTACTTTCATGACTAAAGCAACATCACCTCATTTTTAGAGGGCAGCAAAGCCATGAAGAAGAGAAGGATCTAGAAGGGAGAAGCATTTGGAAGGTGAGGGCCTAGGAAGATGCTCGCTGGTGATCCGTGTGGCTCAGGCCTGTGGGCTTTGTGGCCTTGGGAGATGAGGACGTTGGTTGGTCTGGGCCCAGGCAGTGAAAGGGTATGGGCTGCAGACAAGATGCTGTTTTTCATCCGGACAGAGGGGGCCCTCGAGCCTTATCTGTAACTCATGATCCTTTAAGGGAGGAGAGAAAAACACGAGTGTGGGGAGCGCCCTGAAATCATTGCAGTTGGCGGCGGATCCCTTGTCTTCACCGCAGGGACCGCTGGGTATTGCACTACAATTAAAAAGATCCATCATCCAGGCCGGAGCACGCAGGGAAAACCTCCGATGGAAAAACACAGCGCATGCCTCCCATCTGTCATCCATCAGCTGGCATTGCCTCTGGAATAAAGACCTCAGGTGAGGCCAGGCTGGCTCTGAAGGGCACATGGTGACCTGAATACTGACATTGGGGCCAGGCACCTGCCCGACTCCACAGATAAATGAATGAATGAAGTGCCATTAGTTGAACGAGCCATTTATTTAACAAATGAGTGACTGACTGAATGCATGGAGGCGTGAAGCATTTTTCACTGTTTGAATGTTTGACCCATACATGCCTTGAAGATTGAAGAATAAAAAATTAAGCTACCTACACAGATATACAATAACTCAAGGATATCAGCCATACTACCTACTGCACTGCCTTCGTACCGAATAACCTAAAATAGTTTGGCATCCAGCAGACACAGCTTATGATGGGAGGCCAATGCCTGGGGCCTACAAGCAGAGCATGGGCCCAGCTGCCCCCTGTCCGTTCCACCTGCACCCCAACCTCTCTTTTCCAGGCTCCCATAACTGCGGGGAGGCCCGGTCCCACCCTCTCTGGGGACATCTTAATTCTGGGCCTTGCATTTCTCTCCAGCTGCTCTCTGCAGGTGCCCTGCCTTTCTCTATGGATCTCAGCTCCCTAGCTCAGTATTTTGGATGTTCATTTTAACGGCAGCCATTCACAGGCATGGCCGTATAGATTTCTTCCTGGAGACCCCTGAGCCAGACAGGAATGGCTTTCTGACTCTCTGACCACCCGCGTTTGGCTGGAGCTCAGAGCAGGGGAGGAGGGCAGGGCTGTTTTTCTTGTCAAGGTTCCTGGCTGGCTGAACACAGGCGTCTCCTGTGAGCACAGAGGCAGGGAGCTGAGCAGAGCAGGGACTTACCAGGATCAGCTTGTCCCCTTCCACCCACTGCTTCCAGCCGCGGTTCTCCTTCTCCCCCTTCTGCACGCACACGAGGACGTTGCCTTCCCAGGTGATCAGCGACTGCAATGACACGTTCCAGCAGATCAACGGTGTGGCCTTGACTGGGACCCGACAAACGCCAACCTGCGGCTGCAGTCCCGACGCTGTGCCCAGGCTCCCGCCTGGCTGCTGGGCAGAGCCCTCAGCCCCGGCCAAGACCTTCCAGGCTCATTTACACACACACACACACACACACACACACACACATACACACACACACACCTGCCATTCCAGCCAAACCGACTCGCCTCGCCATGGCTGGTTTGCCCTCTTTTAAGGGTTTCTACTCTTCCATCTTATCCTATGGGACAGACAGCATTCCAAACCAGAAGGGGGAAAGACGATGAATGTGACTGTGTCACGATGTAACATTTCTAAAAAGGGAAGATACCTCAGCGTCTACAGATGGATAACAAACTGGGAAAAATAACTGTAACACGTGTCAGACAAAAGACCTGCGTCCCTTCTCTATAAGGCGCTCCCATAAACCAGTAAGAAAAAGGTCATTGACCTGATAGGAAACTCAACTAAAGACGCCGACCCACAGCTCACATTTTGGGTGGGGAACGCATTGGGCCTGGCCCTGCCACGGCATTGGGCGTGTGTTGATGAAATGTTTGACCCAGTAGAGAAGGCTAGTTTTGAAGTCCCTAACTCTGTGCTGCCCTCGGAGGATATTATAAATATCCAGATGGCCCTGGGCAGAAAAATGGTTCCCTCCCCTGGTGACACAAGGGGAAAAAAACACACACAGCCCTAGCAGATGGCTTTTAAACATAAGGAAAGACAACCAACTTCACTCACCATAAGAGAAATGCAAATGAAGGCTTTTTTTTTTTTTTTTTTTTTTTATACCATTCACCTCACAGCCAAAGATGAAAGAGGGATAACACCCTGCAGAGGGGCAGGCACCACCTCTGAGGCTGACAGGCTCCCCCACCCCCAGTCGCCCTTCAGCTGAAGGGTTCCAGTCCAGTCACAGGAAGGAGGTAGTGGGAGGGCACCTGCCTGTGCTGTGATTCTTTTGGGAACAGCCCATTGTGGGAGGCTGGGCAAAGTCTTCTCAGCCCCTACCGGTGAGGGCGAGGGCGAGGTGAGAGTGAATGTCAGCCCCAACTGTTTGCTGTGGGCAAGCAGAGACAAAAAGTTGGAAAGGGAATTATCTCTCTCTTTTTCTCTCTCTTTTCTCTCTCCCTCCCTCCCTCCCTCCCTCCCTCCCTCCCTCCCTCTCTCTCTCTCTCTCTCTCTCTCTCTCCTCCCTGCAGGGCTAAGAACTGACCCTGGGGAGGGTGGGGTCTGAGGGGAAGGAAAGCGGGTGTTAACGCAGGGAATCGTCTGAGTCACAAAGGGCTGAAAGGACTCCATTACTTCAGGAAGAGGAGTTCTCTGCCATCCATGGCGATGCCGGAACAGGTCAGAGAGAACAGGCCTCTTTCTCCACCAAAATGCAAAGGCCAGGGGGCATGAGTCATTTTCAGCCGACATTCTGAGCCAGTTCTCCTATGAACTCGGGTATCTGACGCCTCGGCCTTCCAGCCACACCGTTCAGAAATGCCCGGTTGATCCATCAGCCTCTCGCAGGGGCTGCCCCAGGGCTCGGACGCTGAGGCTCTCAGGGGCTGAGTCCACCCTGATGGAAGCATCTCCAAAGTGCTTTTCACTGCTGACTTCTTAGCGAGGGCACTAGCTATGAGTCAGCCTCGGCGTGATGGCCGAGAGGATCGGTGCTGCAGGGCAGCGTGAGAAATAAAGCGTGTCCCGCTCCCGTGGCTAGGAGGTCAGCAGCAAAGAACGGTGACAGCCTTCCCTTCCAGTCCCAGGGAGTGACAGAGCTCGTGGCCCTCGACTTGGGGAAGCGCTGAAACCTCCAGCTTTGAAAGAGCTTCGGAAACAAGAGAGGAGGGGGACCCCGGGGAGCCTGGGTGCCTGGCAAAGGAGGAAGGGGGGGGGGAGGGACCTGGCACCCTGAGGAGCTGCCTCTGCTGGGGGTGATAACATGGGTCCCTGGGGACAGGATGCCCAGTTCACCTACCAGCTCGGGAGCCAGGGCAGAGGTCCCGGTGGCTGCATTGGCACAGATGGGGTGGGTGCCATGAATAGTCAAGCTGCCCACCCTCACACAAACTACACGGGCACGGACAGTGAGCAGCCACTGGCAATCATACCAAATGACCCACCAGAACCCCTTTCCTGGACTGTGTGGCCCCGGGGGTCCTTATCGGATGTGAAGGTTGGGGTGGGAGAATTCTTTAATTCGACTGAGATGGACTTTCTCCCTCATTCCTGCTTGTGGGGGCTGACCAGGTGTAACTGAATTTGGAAAACCAAAGACAGGCACACATGGAGTGTGAGTATGAACACGGCCACCATCGGTCACCAGGCTGGAGGAGAGGGGACCGGCTGTCACCCCTGGCTTGTCCACCTCCACCCGCTGTGCGCCCTCCCTCCTCCTCGCTGCTTCTCCTCTCCGCCTTATTTACAAACTGCTGCTCTGGGCAAGGGCTGGCCTCCTGTGCTTAGAGACAACACGTGAACCCTCTGCTCACTTTCAGAATCCTCCCTGTACCCACGCCCCTCAGGCACCTGGCAGTCTGGCCTTTGGAAGCCTGGGGATTGACTCCATTAGGTCCTGGGAGTTAGGGTGACCTTGACACAGAGCCAGAGATGTGTCCCAGACTTCTGGGACTGGACTGGGACTGGAGGACCCCGACTTCACTCAGTACGCTGAGTGTTTTGTTCGCTATACACTTCATTCTTCTTTAAAAACACCCCCCCCACAAAAACAAACAAACAAACAAACAAACAACAACAACAAAAAAACGGTGGGGTTCATCTACAATGGAGAACAATGGAAAAATTTCATATGAAAACCTATGAATTTTCAACATCTGTGAATGTGAGGCATCCGTCCCCGTGGCAATGTATAGCTGGGGCGGAGCAGGCTGCTCCTCGGAAGAAGCTGCACCGCTCAGCTCACAGGGCGGAGTGCTCCCTGCAACATCCCACCGGGCCCTCTTCTCACTGCCCGCCAGCCCAGGCCCCCCCTGGAGAGGCCGCATCCTTCCATCGCTCCTTTGCGCAGCAGCTCAGTGCAGAAGCTAGTGTGCCCCTTCCTCCCTAAAATAAGGTTGCTCGGTGCCAGCGTCATTGAGTCCGCTCCGGTCCCCCTTTCCAGGTTGTTTCTGTCCCTTGCCCTTGATGAGGCAGGATTGCCAGCCCCTTCGGAGCGCGCGTGTGAAAACTGCCTGCCCCGCCCAGTACCTTAACGACCCGGTTGTCCAGGCCCTTGGTGTGCTCCTCAAACTCCACGCCCACGGTGAAGTCCAGGTCGTAGTTGCGGAACGTGCTGTTGGTTTTCGTCTTGAAGTTGTCGCCGTCCTGCTGGATGATCTTGGTCTGGGTCAGGCGCACTGCGATCTTGCGGGTGGCGAAGTCGATGTCTGTGGGCAAAGGGAGTCGTGGACAACTCAGTCAATGGGTTGGGAGCCCTGGTGGCAGGGGGAGGTCGCAGGCAGGGTCATGCCTGTGCTGCAACTTTCCAGTATGCATACACACACACACACCTCCATCTCAGCAGCTCCATTCTACTTATTTGACATATTGGGTTTCTTTTTTTAAATATATTTTATTAATTTTTTACAGAGATGAAGGGAGAGAGAGAGTCAGAAACATCGATGAGAGAGAAACATCCATCAGCTGCCTCCTGCACACCCCCCACTGGGGATGTGCCCGCACCCGCAACCAAGGTACATGCCCTTGACCGGAATGGAATCTGGGACCCTTCAGTCTGCAGGCTGACACTCTATCCACTGAGCCAAACTGGTTTTGGCGACATATTGGTTTTTTTTTTGAAGAGTTTGCTGAACATGAGATTTCATGTTTTAAAAGAAAAAGGACTGTTCAAAACTCACCAGCCTAGATCATAGGTAAAGGTGGAATTTGTTATTGTCTGCCAGCCCGGAAGGATACATATAAAACTTCCATTTTTAAAGCCGATTAGGCGCTTTCTTACTAGGGCTGTGCTCCCTCCCTCACCAGCTGTCAGGGTCCTCCACATACTGTAGACCAGGGGTCACCAACCTGCAGGGCCTCAGGGACCACCTGTGGTCTACGGACCACACCGGTTGGAGCCCGCTGCTCTGGACACTCAATAAACATTTGCTTCTAGATTTGCTTCATCGTTTTTTAAGGAAAAGATGGCCCTTTGTTTATATTCATATTATGAAGAATTTCAAACAAACCAAAGTAGAGAGGAGTGTATCAGGAACCTGATCCTCGTCACCCGGATTCCACAGTTTCCAAGATTTCGCTGCGTTTATTCCTGTACAGCTTTCCCTTTTCCTGATATTTTAATGGAATCTTACTCATCTCTGAGAGGCCATTGGGAAGTAAAAGGGAGCGTGCCCTTCCATGGAGAGCTGCATCTCCCAAGCTTTGCACGTTCCGGTAAAAAGCTAAGTGCTGCGCGCACCTCCTCGCTAACCTCTGGTTGTACATACACCCTCCTTCATGCCAAAAGGGCGCCGTGTTGGTGGAATCAGCCTAGAAACAGAGGACACGTCTGGAGCTGCTAAATGTGTTCCTTTGCTGTGATCCTCATTAAGCTCTTGGTCTCTAACCAAGTCATATTTGACCCCCTAGTATGCCTGTAAATTCTCCAGTAAAATGGGGGAAAGATGGCTTACCTCACAGTTATTTAATGTAAAAATTCACTTAAATAATGATAAAAATGCTTTACGCAGTGCCAAGGAGCTGTGGTTAACGCACACCGGCCTCCAAGCTTTGGCCTTTTCTGTTCCAGTCAGACCCAGTCTGGAGTGAATGTTTGGGCCACACTTCCACATCCACCTCCCCACGCTGCCCCAGGGCCCCGGGCTCTGGAGAGCAGTCGGATGGCGGCTGATCTGCTCACATGCACGGCCCTGGCCCGGCACATGGACATTCTGTCCGCTTCTTCGCTCCATGGTTTGGCTGGTGGGTAAATGCATCAGCCCTGCCTTGGCCCTCGGTGCTGAGGCCCATGCTGGGCCGCACCCTGCTGCTGGCACCACAGGTAGAACGGAAAAAAAACAACCAACCAACTAACCAACCAACCAACCAACTAACCAACCAACCACAGGCCGCATATTAACCAGATGAAACCAAGAAGGCGGCTCCTCCAGGCAGAATGACTTGGAGAGAACCGGGAATGACAGCGGAATTCAGGACCGAGGTGTCTGTCAGAGAGCAAGCCTGTTTCCATCCCCTGAGGTGGGCAGCAAGGCCCAGAGACGTTACATGGCAGGTTCTGAGCTGCTCAGCGGGGCCGGAGCTCCTGACAGTTTGCCTGCAAACACATCCCGGTATCATTCGCAACTAAGGCTTTCCCAGCAGAAAACATCGCTTGTCCTTGGCTGCTTAGAAAGGTGGGTCGCAGTGTAAAAATGCCTATTGCCGGGGGAACCAGCTTGTCCTGGAAAGAGCATCCCTCCTCAATCTTTCTGACCGGGGCCGGCGGAATCCTGTTACAGGCTCTATGCAAATGGGATCCAGTACCGCTTCTTCTCCGGATTGAAAAATGGCAGGGCCTCCTGGCTTCCCTTTAGCGTTTACACAGGCCAGTTAATCACGCCACCTCTGCTCCACTCCGGGGAAGGGGGCCGAACGCTCCGCTGGCAGGCGCGTGATGTTTCTAATCGAAAGGAGAGGTGTACCTGCAGCTGTAGAACACACACACACACACACACACACACACACTCACACACAGGTTACAAAAACGCTTCCCCTTTGTGCTCCGCAGAGAAAATTATTTTCCTGATACGGTATTCTAACACCAGGGCTATCGAGTATGTTTTATCTGCTTCTCTGGGTTAAAGGTAGCTCCGAGCCTGATTCACAGCCAGGTGAAATGAATTTCTACCTCAGGGGAGAAGGTCCAAAGGCAAGCCAGTCCTGAATAATATATATATATATATGCCTCGTAGCTGCTGCAGAAGGAAAAAAAACAAAAACCAGCACTGAAGTGACTTTATTAAAAGCATACTTTTCATAACTGCATTTTGAACAATGCAAGCCATAAAGGTGAAATATGGGCATGCTACTCCACATTAAAATGCTTTGTAATGCTATTGTGAAAAAAAGCTATGGAGTTGCAGGCACACAGGGCAGGCGCTCTTTGTCAATTAAAGAGCAGAGGTGCACCTGTACTCATCACGTGACCCCTGAGACCCATCCCCTGTGCCCCCCGTGCTGGGCTTCCAACCTGGGCTCCCTCATTCTCCAAGCATCAGCGCGTGTAGGCGACTGTGAGCAGCATGTGGAGGAGCGATCCTCTCCTTTCTTCCACGCCATTTCCTCCTCCATGTGACACATTCAGAGAGGACTTAGCCTGGACCCCTGCCAGCCTCCTCTCGCTCCTCAAGGACATTTCCAAGGAGGTTTCCCTGGCCGCAGAGGCAGCTGGAGAACTCCCCCTGCACCATCTTCCTCTCCACCTGTAGGCTACTCCTCCCCGCTGGGAAGGGGGTCAGGAGGGAGGTGCTGCTGGTACATACCAGGGAGGGACCAAACCTGTCTTCACCTGGGTCTCTTCCACCCCCAGCACGTTCCCTTTTGAAAGTGCAACCAGGTGCCATGTGCTTTACACAGAGACTTTGGCCATGACCTCATTGGCTTGTGAGCACCAGCAGGAATCCAAGTTTTGTGACGTCAAATCTTCCTTGGGTCATTAGGCAGTCTGTCTCTTTTCCTTCCTCTCTTCCTTCCTCTCTTCCTTCCTCCCTTCCTTCCTTCCTTCCTTCCTTCCTTCCTTCCTTCCTCCCTTCCTCCCTCCCTCCCTTTCTTCCATCTCCCTCCATTTCCCCCCTCCTTCTCTATCTTCCTTTTTTCCAGCCCATGGCACTGCCCTAGCCCAACCCACCATCATCACATTTTGCCTGAACAACACAACAGCCTGCTTCCAGCCTTGCTCTCCTGTGACTCATTCTTTATATTGTCACCATAGGGACCCTTCAAGAATATACATAAGGTAGGTTAAGTCTTCCCATCATGAGGCCTGGCCTGCCTCTGTGCACTGATCTTTCCTTGTTCACCACACTCCCAACACACCAGCCGTCACATGGCTCTCAAACACGCCCAGAGCCTTTGCCCGTGCTGTTCCCTGAGCCTGGAATAACACTTCTCAGCGCTTAAGCTTCGGCTTCGATGTCCCCTGGTCAGGCAGCCTTCCCTGACCACCCATCATTCTCCACCCCATCACTCCTTCTTGTTTTCTTTAAGCACTTACCACTACCTAAAACCATCTTCAACCTGAGGTTTTCAGCCCTTTCCATCCCACGGCACATCTAAATTCATTACTAAAATTCTGCAGCACACCAAAAAATTATATTTTTTGCTGATCTGACAAAAATATAGGTATACTTTATTGATTTACCAAAAAATAATAAAAATAGCAATTACCTCCCTTTTTTGCTGCAAAGTGACTTTAAAAAAAAATCAGGTGCCTATACTTGTACACAAACATTTCTGTTACAAAACAAACAAAACAATTAGACACAACCAGATCCAGTCGGAAGGAGGACCTCAGGACATGACACTTTTCTCAGGGTGAGTTTACCAGCTGCTTTTCTTTGTTGTCAAAAAAGAATCCTGGGCCTCAAGAAAGATCAGGGGAGGAGGTACTCTTGACCCTTGGCCCTCTTTCTTTGAACAATTAATGACTTCGATAATTTGGAGCAGACCCAAAGGTTGTCATGACGTGTCACTCTGCTGAGGCAGCAGCTGGGGAGGCCAGGTGTGGGGTGAGTCCCTGGGAGTCTCATTCCCTCCGGAACCGGCAGTCAGGCTCTCAGAGAAAGCCAACTCTCTGACACTGGCACTAACGCTAAGAAGGTGACGATTCTTTGGCAGGAAGAGGAGTTATACTTCATGGTGATTACTTATCTGTTCTTTGCTGAGATCTCCATATGTGTTCTCCCCAAATGCCAAGGGCCCCTTGCCCCCAAGCAGAAGGCAGGCAAGCTCCATGGACTTGTCAGCGTTGGAGAAACAGCCCTGCCCTGCAGGGTGGGTGTGGAGGAAATGGCACGGTTGTGCTGGGTTGCTTTCAGCAGGTGAAATTGTCAGGGTGGCCCTCCTCAGCTGCTTCCGGCTGAGACCCTCCAGACCTGTTTTTAGTCATCACTGGGGCATTCCCCCCCCCCCCCCCGCTCGTGGCCCCTGGGGCAGGTGGGGGGGGGGGGCTGGTGTCCTGTCTCCAGGGTGGGAAGTGACTCCAGCTAAAGCCCTTTTGCACGTGGCATCATGGCCTCAAGCTGGAGCAACTTCCCGGGCCCTGCCAACCCCGGGCTGTCAGCAGCTGGGTAAACGAGGCATCAAGCACACCCACCTTTGGGGTTTAACGAGTAAACTACCTACAGTTTTAATCTTAACCAGGAGAGTGGCAGCCTACTCCTCCTAAACTTCAGAAACTGGCACAAAAAGGTCCAACAAGCCCGGCTGGTGTGGCTCAGCGGTTGGGTGTCGACCCAGGAACCAATAGGTTGCTGGTTTGATTCCTGCTCAGGGCATATGCCCAGGTTGCAGGCTCAATTTCCAGGAGGCAGTTGATCAATGATGTTCCTCTCTCATTGATGTTTTTATCTTTCTATCTCTCTCACTTCCTTTCTTTCTAAAAACCAATAACACATATTTAAAAAAAGAAAGAAAGAAAAAGGTCCAACAGTTTCCTCATTAGCCTGAAATCTATGTAGATCTATGACGCTAAACTGGAAATTCTGACTGAAGCTGTGAGAGACAATAGGCATCTGATACCGAAGATACTAGGACAGAGCTACCCAAGGCATTCCCAGGGTGGAAGCCCCCTCCACGCGGAGGCCCCCCCCACGCGGAGCCCCCCCCCCCCCCCCACGCGGAGGCCCTCCCCTACGCGGAGGCTCACATTGATGCAGGGGAGTCCCCTGAAGGCTGTTTCTAGAGCGAGAACTGGCAGTGTGCCTCGCATCGATCCCTTCCGGAGAGGACAGAGGGTGGGGACAGGGTGGCTGGCCGCTCACCTTACACCTAGAGAAAGGGTTTCAGGGACCCACCCTGCAGAGCTGGAAACTAGACGGAGGCTGGATTTTATACTCAAAGTCACCGCAGCACTTTTCATTCTTTAAAGATGAGCAGAAACAGACACAAAGTTGCTTTCTGATTATATTTCCCCCCGAATCCGCTTGCTTGGTAGGCTGCTGAAACCTGGCAACCCACAAAAGGCCCCTGTTAACGTGCTTCCCGATGTTCCACGGCCGACATCATCGGGAGAAGCAGGCGACGCTGGTGCTATTTCCCCTGCGCGGCCGCTGAGGAAACCGGTGCTGAGAAGGTCAAGGTCAGAGAGAAAGCAGCTATGTGGGCCCCTCTGGCTCGCTTTCCTCCTCTGAAGCTCTTGTTCTGAGCTAAGCTCCAGACCATCTATTTACCCACAGATCGAATCAGAACTCAATTCCTTTTGCTCACTCAGGGCCCTAAAACCAGGTGCAACAGGGATAGGATTTTTGCCTCCTACCGCCTCTTCCAGATACAGGGTGTCCCTAAAAATGTATACACACTGTCCCAGCCGCTAGCTCAATTTTGAAAATGAAATGTATTTTAATAAACACCGCCTTTACCATTATTCAAAGTGTGTGTGTATCCATTTGTAGGGATGCCCTTTGTAGTGAGGTAAAATTCGGATCACCAGGAGGAAAAAAGCTACCCAGCATTGAAAATGTTTAATGTACACTTAGAAAGTTCTATACACTGTCCAACATGCCACAGCCCTCACTGTTCACACCCTGGGAATGTTCAGAAAGCTAGAAGTTAACTGCATACCCAAGAGACCATGATAATCGTTCTTGATGAGACTTCCCATCCCCATATCCACATCGTTGGGCCTCCGACCCCACCCGCGGCCACTGTTCTCCTGTTTGGTGTGGGCCAGTTCCAGCCAGGAGCTCCTCATGTGGAGGAGATGCTGCCGCGGCCACGGTGAGTCGGAGGCCGGTGCAGGAGGAAGTTGGGATGGGCAGCCAAAGCCTTTTGCTCAGTGCCCGGACCATGGCAGCTGCCCCGCAAAGTGAGCTCTCCTTTGGGGGGGCCGGCCTCCCTGGCTTCCAGGGGCTTCTGCCCACCCCACGAGAGATCCCACAAAAGATCCGCTCGGACACACACTGATTGAGCCCCTGGCGTGGAGGCTATTTTGGAAGTCAGAGAGCGGTACTGCCTGGGTGGACCTCTGTGTCCAAAGCCTTTCCTAGCATCTGCGGGCTTGCTTTCCTCTGGCCCTGAAAGGTTTGTTAGCCACGCCTATTCTCTTCCCGCGGCAAGACTGACGAAAGGGCAATGCAGGGTCACTGGCGGATAATATCGGGTCCAACCAGCTATTTAAGAGATGGCAGTCACAGGAACAAGAGCTACTGCATGATCCCCTTTCTGAAGTTTGGCTTTGCTCTTGTATGCACATGTATGTGTCTATGCACACATATGTGTGTGCCTGTGTGCCTGTGTGCCTGTGTATCCTCCATACAGTGCATTTTTTCTTTTTACCACATACTACTCTGACATTCTAGACACAATCTCAGTTACTACTATTCTAACTTGCAGAAGAGGACCCTGAGCCTCAGGGAATGTGTATGATGTGCCTGATGTTACATAGCTGGTAGGCCTGGAGTGAGACCTGCACTTAGACCTGTGAACTCCATAGTGGCACTGTCCGGAGGGCCAGACCACAGTCCTTCTGAAGTTGTCCTCCCTCTTCCACCCCCACTTCCACCCTCCCTCTTCCACCCTTCCTCTTCCAGCCCCCTTACCCAGTGCCTTCATGTAGCCTTCAAAGTTGTCATTGCTCTCCATCTCCCAGGTTCCATTCTGGTCCTTCGTCATGGTGCTGGCCTCTGGTTACTGCGGGTGTGTGGTGCACGGTGAGCGTCCAGGAGCAGGATGCAGGGAGAGCGCTGTGAAATGAGTCACTTTTATAGCCTCATGGGCTAGGTTTATGGTGCTGAAGATAACAGGTTCAAAGGTGATAAGCACAGCCCAGAGGAACTTTCTTTTCCTTTTCAAAGTTCAGAGGACTACAGGCAACTCATGCTCAAAGTCCTGGCCTGGGCCAGCATGCGTGTCCTGGTGACAGCCCCACACACCTGGCCCTGGGACAGCTCGTTTTTGGCTGGCTTGGCTCCCACAGAGCCCCCAACCCCTCACAGAACACTCCATTCAGCACGGGAAGAACACAAAGACCCAGCAGCCACCCACACGTGCACTACAGGCCACAGCCCCAAGGCCTCAAACGTGGAGTCTGTCAGCCACGTAAGCACTTTCTCTTCCCGCCTGGCTAATGAGCCAAGAGGGTGAGCACTCACACCTGTACTCCGTGCGGACCAGTGTGCGTTCTTCATCTTGTTTTATTTCACACGAGCTCTGAGTTATGTTTAGCGATCTCCATTTTACAGATGAGAACAGATCAAGGAGGTTAAATCACATGCCTAACGACAACCGGTGAGTGGCTGAGCTGGGACTCAAACCCAGGCCTGTCTGGCCCCAAAGCTCTTTCTTGAGCAGTGTGCGCAAGTCAGGTGGGAAAGGTCAGAGTTTGGTTTGGGAGCCTGATTCTCACTTGCTTTCTTCCCCAAGGGCCTCTATACAGCAGGGTCACTCAAAAAAGGTATGTTCTAGGACAGTGGTTGGCAAACTGTGGCTCGCGAGCCACATGCTGCTCTTTGGCCCCTTGAGTGTGGCTCTTCCACAAAATACCACGGCCTGGGCGAGTCTATTTTGAAGAAGTGATGCTAGAAGAAGTTTAAGTTTAAAAAATGTGGCTCTCAAAAGAAATTTCAATCGTTGTACTGTTGATATTTGGCTCTGTTGACTAATGCGTTTGCTGACCACTGTTCTAGGAGAACTCATCTTCTGAAAGCAAGCAGCTTAGGTTTATGGCCTAGGTTTGGGAGGGAGGCCAGATGGGGCAGTGGGACAGCTTCAAGACCCCAGGAGCAAGCTGAAGTTCACCTTGACCTACATGTGTGGGGCTGGGTGGGAGGGCACACTGACATTTGGGTAAAGACTCTTGGTTCAGTGCTGTTCTTCAAACTGACTGTCCCAGTGGGTCAGAAAATGGGTTGATTTATTGCTCTGCCACATGGTTCTGAGAGATGGGGTCTGATTAGGGGTCCCTACACTCTGAAAAAATGGGGGTGTAGGTTGAAGATGGGTAAACCATGAGTACTCCAAAGCAAGGCCAAGTTTGATGGCCACCCTGGGACTCTCATGTATGTATTCTTGTGCTGTGAAATCTGAGCAAATGGCTCTGTCTGTGTGTGGTTTGGGGGATGTCAAATAACACATTTGTTTTTCGGTAAATATACTGGAATCAGGAAGACACACAGTAAAAAGTGGCCCAGCTGTGGTTAAAAGGGGAAGAGGAGAATAAAGGACAACTTCTCCACAAATGGAGAATATCAGTGATATCCCCAGAAGTACAATAGATAGAAAGTGAAGAATTGGGGCCCTGCAGAGGCTGCTGTAGTCTGAGCACTCAGCCTTCTGGGTTGGAGATGTAGGCATTCCTCTCCAGGTTCAGATTCAAGAGATTCAAGGGTGGAATTCCACACAGCCACTCCTACCCAAACCGAGTCCCCTCGGCCTCCCTTGCAAGAAAGCATAAAAAAACTGGCCCTGTAACAGAAGGGATTAGGGCAAAAATGGGGTTAATTGTAATAAGCCAAGGACCTGGGTTTAATGGGCATGGGAGTTATTCACTGTGTAAGGCAGGAAGTTGAAACTGAGATGCTAGCAGAAAACCAAACCACTTGGGGAACTAATTCTCAGTGAGCATTTGAAGTAGCCAAAGCTGCCCAGAGACAACAAGAATGTTTGCCTATTTAGCCCAGAATATGTGTGAGTTAAATGCAGTTCTGTTCTGTTCCAACTCTGGTTTGGGGTTTGAATTTATGCTTCCAGCTAGCCAAAACCTATACTAATAAAAGCATAATATGCTAATTAGACCAGACAGCCAAATGACCTTCTGGGCGTCATTCTGGACCCCGGTCTGGACAAAGCCATGGTCTCAGAGGCCGAGGCCAAGGTGGTTAGGGGTGATCAGGCCAGCAGGGGAGCAGTTAGGGGTGGTCAGGCAGGCAGGGGAGCAGCTAGGAGCATTAGGCCTGCAGGCAGAGGGGTAAGGGGCAATCAGGCTGGTGAGTGGTTAGGAGCCAGTGGTCCTGAATTGGAGAGGGTGCAGGCCAGGCTGAGGGACTCTCCTCCTTCCTACTCCCTCACCCCGCCCACCCCATGTACAAATTTTGTGCACCAAGCCTCTAGCATTAAAATAAAGTACTTATAGACTTTAAAATACTTATAGACTGCTAGAAAGAAGTAAATGTAAAAACTATCTGTAGGGACACACCTTTGATGGAGGCCAAACAGAATTCCTATAATAAAGCCATGACAAATGGAATTTCATAATACCAAACTGTAAAACACACATGAAAATAATCCACCTAAAGCAAACATCAGCAGAAACATTCTGTCAAATAAGACTTCTAAGAGCTTCAGATAAAAAACAAACAAAACAGATAAACTATAAAATAAGTGTGTTTAAAATGAAAAAAGAAAACTACAAGCTCTTAAAAACACAAAAAGAATAAAGTGATGTGTTTAAAAGTTGATTTAAAAATAACCAGAGTAGTTGTAGAAATTTAAAAATACAGTCATTAAGTTAAAAGGTAATATAGATGGGTTAAACACAGTTGAAGAGAAAATTAGTAAACTAGAATGTAGTGCCAAGAAAACTACCCCCATGTATGTAACACAGAACACACTGGTGGAAATTCAGAACACCAACATAAAAATAACTTTCTAAAATCTTCCAGAGAAAACAAAATAAGCCATAGAGATTACCTATAAAGAAACAATACAAAATAATCTCATTTACAATTACATCAAAAAATAATAAAATACCTAAAAATAATTAGCCAAAGAAGTGAAAGTCTTGTACTCTAAAAACTACATTGGAGAATTAAATTGAAAAAGATACAAATAAATGGAATGATATGCCTTGCTCATAGATTGGAAGGATTAATATTGTTAAAATGTTTTTACTATCTAAAGCTGTATACAGATGCAATGCAATCTTATTAAAACACTAATGACATTCTTTCCAGAATTAGAACAACTACTAAAATTTATAAGGAACTATAGAAGATCCTGAATAGCCAAAGAAATCTTAGGAAAGAACAAAATGGAAGGTATCATGCTTCCTCACATAAAACTAGAGTGCAAAGCTACAATAACCAAAACAGTATGGTATTGGCATAAAAACAGATATGTAGATAGATGGAATACAATAAAGAGCCCAGAAATAAAATCTTTCTTATATGGTCAATTAATCTACAACAAAGGTGTCTAGAATATACAAGCAGGTAAAGACTATCTCTTTAATAAATGGTATTGGGAAAAGTAGACTTGCAAAAATATTTGGACTACTTTATTACATTCTATATGAAAATAAGCTCAAAATGGATTAAAGACTTGAAGCCATAAAACTCCTAGAAGAAAACACAGACAATATATTCTTTCACATCAACACACACACACACACACACACACACACACATACATGAATATTATTCAGAAATACCTTTTTGGATATGTTTCCTTGGGCAATGGAAAGAAAGAAAAAAAAAATAAATGAGACTACTGTATTTCAAACTAAAAAGTTTTTACACAGCAAAGGAAACCACCAACAGAATGAAAAGACATCCTACCGAATGGGAAAAAGTGTTTACCAATGATACATCTGATAGGAGGTTGATATCCAAGATACATAAGGAACTCATACAACTGAACACACACAAAGAAAATAAACAACCCAATTTAAAAATGAGCAGCAGACCTAAATAGATATTTCTCCAAAGCAGATACATAAAGGTGGCCAACAGACATATGAAAAGATGCTTACTATCATAATCATCAGGGAAATGCAAATTAAAACCACCATGAAATATCACCTCACATCTTAGGAGATTAAGCCCCTAGCCAGTGTTTGATTTGTCCTCAACAAATCGCGGCTTCAGTGTGTGCTTTGGTCTCAGGTGAGTAGAAGATGGGGTGGGTGGGGAGTTCTGCAAACTATCATCAATAAATCAACAAATAAGTGCTGGTGAGAATGCAGAGAAAAAGAACCCTCATACATTGTTGGTAGGATAATAAATTAGTACAGCCACTATGAAAAACAGTATGAAGGTTCCTAAAAAAATAAAAAATAGAGCTGCCATAAAATCTAGCAATTCCATTTCTGGGGGGTTATCTGAAGGAAGCAAAAACACTAATTAGAAAAGATATATGCATCCATATGTTCATTGCAGGATTACTAGTTTTATCCAAGATATGAAAGCAACCCAGATTTCTATCAATAGATAGATAAAGAAGATGTGGTTCGTATAAATAATGGGATAAGTTAAATAAATCAGGCAGAGAAAGACAAATACCGTATGATTTTACTTGATGTGGAATCTAAAACAAAACAAAACAGAAACAGAAACAGACCCATAGTTATAGAGAACAAACTGATGGTTGCCAAAGGAAAGGGGAGGGGGGGGATAGGAGAAAAATAAAACAACTCAGATATTTTAAAAAAGAAGCAATACAATAATCACATTAATAATAGACTTTTTAGCAATGGATGAAATACAAAAATGGAATGATATCTTACTATAATGAAATATGGATTCTAAAACCCAGCCAACTTCATTAAAATCTGAAGATTTTAAAAAATAAAGTATTTTTAGATATAGTAGCCCCAAACTGGAAACAATCTAAGCATCCACCAACAAGTTAATGGAGACACAAATTGTGGAATATTCATTCAAAGGGATACTACCCGACAGTAAAAAGTAAGAATGTCCTGGGACACATACCAACAGGGATGAGTCCAATGACATACGCTGAGGGCAAGCAACTTGACAC